ATAAATAGAAGAACAAAGCAGGGTGAACACAAGCCAAGAAAGTAGGCAGCCAGATGTCCACAGCAAGACGTGGAGAACATAGCACAGCCAGGGGCCCTCCTTGGGCAGGAGCCACGGAGAATCTCAGACTCAGAGTTATTCATCTTCACACTCTGTCGGGCAGCATGGGGCCAGGACCCCTCACCCCAGTGTCCCAATTCCATCCCCACCATCCCTGCACACCACGTGGAATCCAGCCTCCAGCTCCCCCTCTGAGATCCACCATGACCTTCGGCCCCAGTTCACACACTGACTTCTCCAGCATCTCTCTCCTGTCGCTCAAAGGTGGCCTTCAAAAGCAAGCATGCTGTGCCCTGTTGTCCTTGCTCCTGAGCCCCATCTTCCTTCATGTATGGAGTGGGTGCAGAGCAGGCCACAATGACCCAGGCCGCCCACACCCAGCTGAGGGGCCGCCACTGGAGGTCTCAGCCCTGCAGCCCGCTCACTGCCCCAACCAAGTGCACCTCGGCAGCCTTTCTCCTCCCGCCCTTGCCTACAGAAAAGGTCACTCCTTCTCAGTGCATGTCTGCCCTGGGGCCAGGTTTCCTATTCTCCCTGCAGAGCCGGCACAGCTGTACCAGAGCTGAGGTTCTGTCTGACACAGATGCTCACTGGTCAGGGAGGACCCTTCCCAGACACAGAGCCAGAAAGAGTGCTCCTGGCCCTGGCCCCAGGCAGCACTGTTTGTGCTACGCTGAATAATGGCCCTCATAGGTGCCCGGGCCCTAATGCAAATGTGAATCTGTTACCTTAGATGGCAAAGGGTCTTTGCAGATGTGATTACATTAAGACACTTGAGACGGGGAGATTATCCTGGATTATCTTGGTGGGCCCAATCTAATCGAAAGTGTCCTTCTCAGCTGAGTGAGTCATGAGAAGCAGGGTTGAGAGAAGGAAATGTGATGAAGGAAGCAGATGTCAGAAAAGATGCTATGCCGCTGGCCTTGACTATGGAGGGAGGTCATGAGCCAAGGAATGCAGGCAGCCTCTAAAAGCCAAAAAAAGAACAGGGAACGGCTTCTCCCCTAGAGCCTGCAGGGGGAAGCAGGCCTCCCAACACCTTGCCTTGCAGCCCAGGGAGACTGACTTCAGACTTCTGCTCTCCAGAACGGTAAGATAATAAACTTGGGTTATTTGTGCTGACTTGTTACAGCAGCAATGAGAAGCTAATACATTCTTTAGTGCCTTGCTGGGCCCTGGACTTCATGGTTCCGGCTGTGCTTGGGACTAGCCAGGAAAACAATGAGCCTGGGAGGGTCAGTGAAACAAACCAACCCAGGTTTCAGAACAAGGCAGCCCTGAGGAAGAGTGGGCCAGAATCCAGCCCCACCAGGGCCTGCCTGGCCTTCCAGAAAGCTAGCTCTGATTTTGCCGAGAGCATCGCAGGACACCAGAGCAGGAAGACTGTCCAGTCCAATCTGTGTGCCCGTGAGGAAACCGAGGCCCCCAGAGGGGAGGCCACAGGGTGAGGGGTCAGGTCTCCTAACTCCCAGCCCGGTGCTCTGTCATGCTGCCCACAAAGCAGAGACACTTCCCTAACCTTAACTTTAGCCCAATTCTAATCCTAACACTAACCCTCTTTTAACCCCAATATAATCCCTGTCCCTGTCTTTATCCCTAACCTACTAGAACCTTCACCTTCTTGCTCTCTACTCTCTTGCTTGGTTTACTGAGGTGGCCGCTTGCCCTCTCAATCCATTCTGCACACAGCATGCAAAATGCTAAAACTGACCTTGTTCTAATTCCTAATCCAGCTTCATCTGCAAGCCCTACCCTAGACCACATGAGTTTCCCCTCCTGGCGTTGGCCCTAGCCTTATTGCAGGCCTTCTAGACACTAAGCTGAATTTAGGTTCACTGCAGAATTGACCCAGCTATGCAGCATCCTCTCTGAACCTTGGCTTCCTCATTTGTAAAATGGGTTAAGGGTGTGCAGGGACCTGAGGCTTAGCCTGACTTCCATGGGGTCCTCCTCCCTGGGACAAGGCTGGAGGCTTTCCCTTAGCCTCTTTTTCAAAATATTTTTTAATTTTTTATGGAGGTGGGGTCTCCTTACATTGCCTAGGTTGGTCTTGAACACCTGGGCACAAGCAAACCTCCTGTCTTGGCCTCCCAAAGTGCTGGGATTACAGCATGTCTGAGTGTGAGCCACCATGTCTGAACCCCCTTAGCCTCTTTTAAAGTCCAGGAAGAGGCTGAGGCAAACTTGACAAGAATCCAGGCCTCAGGAGAATGGCCTCTGTGGTCAGTACCCTCTCAGATCTTCTGTGACTGCCCAGCTCAGTGGAAATGGATGGAAGAATTGCCAGAAGGAGTGAGAACCAGAGCTGGCCATATCGTGGGAGGAAGGGGCAAGTCCAGGAAGAGGGACGGTGAGATGGGTGTCAGTGAGAGAAGGCCTGGAGGGATTTTCAGCCTCTAGTGCCACTGGCTTCCAGTGTCATCCTTGTCCCTCCCAGGGCTGGGGAGGCCACAGGGAAAGGGAAGGAAGTGTCTGGCCAGAGGAGCTAAGCCTTGTAAGGCCGTGGGTTGTGGAGTCAGGTCCCGCCACCTCAGAGGCTGACACCTGTCAGCCCTGGCTGCCCTGGCTTGGTTTGGGAAGCACGGAAGCCCAAATTAGCAAGTGACAAAGCCCAGACCATCTGTCTTCCCGGCGGCCCCTCCTGACATGGGCTCTCCCCCCACTACTCAGGGGCCTTCGCCTCAGTGACAGCCAACCCCACGCCCCTCCCTGCCTTCTCCACCCACCCCCTCTTAAGCCCATCATGGTTCCAAGGCCAGCTTTCTGTGACTGAGTTCTGAGAGGGGGCAGGGCTGGGGGCTGAGGAGACTAGAGCAGAAGGAACAAAGAAATCAAAAGGGTGTCACCCTCAATTTTTCACCACAAATCAGCCCCACATGAAAGTCTGTGGCATTAGAGACATAGCATAGTGAGGTGAGTCAACACACGACTTTGGAAGCAGACAGCTCTGCCACTCACCAGGAACACTCACTAGTGAAGCTTAGCAGTGTATCCCTCCAAGCCTCCACTTCCTCATCTGTAAAATGGGGATAATAATGGTGCCCACCTGGGGGGTGGCTGTGAGGCTCCAATGAGGTATGTGCATAAAGGGCATTGCAAAGGCCTGGCCCAAGGCAAATGCTGAACAAATGTTGGTTCTTGGCATATAGTCCTCGAGGCCTCACACTACCATTCTGAGGTAGGCACTATTACTTACCCTACCATACCCATGAGGAAACAGGGTCACAGTGGTTTAGCAATCACCCAGGGTCCCCCAGCAAGGACAAGACAGAGCTGAGAGCTGCACCCAGGTCTCTGTGCCAAAGTCCATGCTCCTGCACATAGTAAGTGTTCAGTAAACAGGGGCCGTCACTATGACTTTAATGTCCTCATCTTCAGCCAACACCATGGTTCCCACGGGGAACTTGGAATGGACCAGTGTTGTGACTCCAAAGCTGCGTATAATTCATCCCAACATTAAAAACAGTAAATGGGCTGAGCATGGTGGCTCGGGCCTGTAATCCCAGCACTTTGGGAGACTGAGGCAAGCAGATGGCTTGGGCTCAGGAGTTTGAGACCAGACTGGGTAACATGGCAAAAGCCCCGTTTCTACAAAGAATACAGAAATTAGCCGGGTGTGGTGGCACAAGCCTGTGCTCCTGGCTACTTGGGAGGCTGAAGTGGGAGGATTGCTTGAGCGAAGGAGGAGGTCAAGGCTACTATGAGCCGAGATCACATGCCACTGTACGCCAGCCTGGGCAACAGAGTGAGACCCTGTCTCAAAGCAGAAAAAAAGTGTAAGTGATGGTTTGAATGACTGACTCTTGATGTACCTAATTGTGAGAGGTTTGGTTGTGCAGTAACAGATAATATTAGCCACTCTTTTTAGCATTGAGACACCATGAGAGGAGGCTCTTCCCCTCCAGGGAGGCCTGGGTGGGGTTAGAGATGGGGTGAGTGGAAGTGAAGGAGAGGCAGGGCAGAGGGAAGAGGGTGAGGGTCTTGTGAGTCCCTGCAGGTCCCAGCACTGGGCAGGTGGCGGTGCATCTCTCACAGTCTGCACACCTCCCCATGCCCCTGACCCCCTCCCACACCCACCACCCTCTGCCAAACCTGTTGCTTCACTTCTCTCTTGAACTACCTGCTCCTTGAGCTCAGCATTGCCTCACCCTGAATCCTCTTCTGGCCCATCTAGTTTCCCCCATCAGCCCAGTGCTAGGATAAAGGAGGAAGGCCCAAAGACCACCCCGCTCCCACCCCAGGTTCCCGCTTTCTGTGCTGCCACTGAGCCTCCACACCCTGAGCCTGGGACTGGCAGTGCCTTAACAGGTCCCCGCAAAACAGGCTGACTCTCCAGGAATCCCCATAATAAGTAGGTGGGGTTTGGGGCTAACTCTGTATGTCCAGGGATGGGGGGATGTGGAGGACAGTGATGGAGAGTGAGCTAGCAAATTGAGTGTAGACCCCTACCTAGAAACTAATTATTTTCAAGCTGGCACATGAGCAGTTTGCAACCCTGGGAACTGGGACACCAGGTCACTGTGTCTCTCTCCCAATTCTGCCCTATGCTACCCACTCACTAGGTTCCACCCAGCTCTGCTGCACAGGACTTTCTGTCTCCGATGCTCACTTGGTTCTAAGCATTGCATCCCCTGTGTTTTTGGGTGCACAGTTCTACCTTCCCTCTGAAAAGGCTGTCCCTGGGGCAGCGGATGGGGCTTCCCGCCTCCATCTGTTCACTCCAGACCCAGCATGGTGTGTAGTGGAACAGGCCCCTGCCCACTCCCCCACCCACCCCAGTAGTTTTCAAACCCTTATAGGGCATCTGAATTTTGGGGAGGGCTTGTTAAAACACAGATTCTGGGCCTCACCTCCCAAAGTTTCTGATTCAGCAGGTCTGGGGTAAAGCCCAGAAATGTGCATTTCTAACTATTTCTCAGGTGATGCTGACGCTGCTGGCCTGGGGACCTCCCTTTAAGAACCACTTAGGCAGTTGAGACTTCAACAGCAAGTTTCCACGATGCCACCCAAAGGAACAAGTGGTTCTGGAAAAGGGGAAAGTGGGAGCAACCTCTGGGAGTGACAGTGCTGGCAAGAAGGCTCAGGGTCCCAAAGGCGGTGGCAAGGCAGCTAAGGTCAGATACATTCTGTGTAAAAAACATGGCAAAATCATGGCAGTCATGGAAAAGTTAAAGTCTGGGATAAGATTCAATGAAGTGGCCTCACAATCTAGTGAAGCTAAAGCAAGGCAAGGGGGCGACTTGGGTTGGATGATGAGGGTCCATGGTGGGGCCATTGCAGGAAGCAGCATTTGTCTTGTCTGTAAGTGGGATGGATAAGCCTGTGCAACATCCACCAGTTAAGACAAACTTTGGATATCATATTATTATGGTTGAAGGAAGAAAATAAAATAATATGAAAGACTGAAAAAAAAAAACCCTAAAAGCACCCCTTCTAGCCAGACCCAACACTTTAGTCTGTGCTCACTCCTCAGCGGGGCCCCTGAACTGGGCATAGGCAGCCCCGGCCCTGGTCTATCCCCCATGCTGCCCTCCCCACCCTACGCTTCAGACCCAGAGAACTCTGGAGCCCCCCAAACACCCCTTACCAGGCATCAACCCAGGCCCTGGGGTACAATGATGAACCTTGGCTCCTGTCCCCACCACTGTCCTCAACATGGTGCCGGCCTCGTGGATGGTTTGGGCAGCTGGACACAGCCCCTCGACGTTCCTGATCCCCTCATACCGTGCTCACTCCAGTCCCATCTTCCCATGCAGCAGATGGCGAGGGACAGAAATTATTTTCTCCTTTGCCAGAAGGACGCACTTAGTGCCAGGGCTAAGAGAGGAGAGTGAGTCCATGCGGATAGCATCCCAGCCTGCCGGCCTTCCCTGGGGCCTGCTGGGGCAGCCTAGCCCACCCCAGCACTAGGCCCGTGTGCCCAGCTGCCTGCACAACACCCTGGCTCAGGCACTGCAAGCCCTTCCTCACTCGATGGCCCCACCCGGAACCCCATCTGCTCCCTCTCTGTTCTCCCTGTCATGCAAAGGCCCAGCCACAGCCACTGAGCCAAACCAGAAATCTGAGGATCACCCCCTCTGCTCCCCTCCCTTCCTCCTCGCAGCCAGAGGAGCAGCAAGTCCTGTCCTGCTCCCCTCGAGGCCTCCTAATCCGCCCTCCTCCACAGACCCACGCCACTGTCTCTGCTTGAGCCACTGCCTTCTGCCAGCTTCATGGCAGCAAACTCCTCACCAGTCGGGCTGTCCGCTCCAGAAGCCTGTCCATCCCACTGCCGCCTGAACCACCTTCCCTCAGTGACAATATGAGGATAAATGCAAACCTGTGGTCAAGACACATGCGCTTTCATGATCACACCCTTACAGCTTCCCTAGCCCCTGTGTCCCCTGGTCCCAGCCGCACAGAACTATTCAACGTCCCCAGATCACCAGAGGCTTCTCCGAAGGCCCTTCACTCCCACTCCACCTATCTCCTACCCTCCTCCAAGTCTCAGTGGAGCACTGACTCGTCCAGGAAGTCCACCCTGACCACCCGACTGCATTAGGAGCCGCTCCTCCAAGCCCCATAGCCCTGTATGTCCCTCTTTCTCTATGTGGCATCTACAATATCGAAGTCATCTATTTACTCATCTGGGAGGAACCTGAGTGTCGACACTATGTCTTATGCAGTTTTGTATCCTCAGTGACCACCACAGTGCCTGATACATAGTAGATGCTCATTGAATAACCGAATGGACAAGTAGCCAACATAGAAAGGCACCTTCTGGCCAGACACAGGGCAGGAAATTGCCTCCCATGGCTCAGGAGGGATCTTTGCTGGTTTCTCAGGGTCCTGAAATAAGGTTGGGGGGCTCCTGGCTAAGGGTACAGGGAAAGGGCCGGCTGAGAAGCCATCTCGTTCAAGTTCCTGGCACGTGGAGTGTCTGGGCACCAGCTGCCCCCTCCCCCAGAGAGGAGCAGCCACAGCCACTCACTGACCTTGACATAGGTGATGAACTGCTCGCCCCTCCAACAATGTGCTTGGACACACATAGAAACAACAGCTGGACACTGGACCTTTGTTGACGTTAAACTTAGGCCCTGGGAGGTCACCCTGAACTATGACCACCCCCTCCACCCCGTGCCCAGGCTCAGGCCAGGAATGTCAGGGGGAAGCAGGTGCCAACACAGACAAAGAACCCTGCCCTTGTGTCTGGTGAGCAACCCTGCCTCCCTGGCCGCTTCCTCCTCCCGCTCCATTCTCCTCCAAACCCCGTACCTCCACAGACCCCAGCCCTCCTTCTTCCCCGCTCTCACGCCCTTGCCCCCACCCCATGACTGTTTTGCAGGAGGCTTGGGGAGGAATTGAGCAGGGTGGGACCTTTTCAGTCAGCAGATCTAATGAAGGTCCTTCCAGACCCCAGCCAGATGGGACAACCTCTCCAAAACTCTGAGGCTGGGCTGAGCCTCTTTCTGACGGTAGGGCTTTCATGGGGTCTCACCCTGTTCATGCTGGGGCAGGGGGAGGGGCCAGATGCTACCCTCCTCTCGGTGCAAGAAAGAGGAGGCCTCCCTTTGCTTCCTCACACATGCAGACTCCCAGCCACACTTCTTCCCATCTCTTTGCTGCTCGTCAGGGCTCAGCTATAGGAAAATTGGTAACACAAAGCCCAGCTCTAAGGTGCTCGCTGTCAGTCCAGCAGGGAATGGGACTGCAGACATATAGCTACACCCAGAGTGCACCTGCTGCGGCAGAGGCCTGAAACCAAACAGGGGCTTTGGGAGCTGGGGGTGGAATGAATTCTCCCAGCCAAAGGAGGAGGTGGAGAGGGATTAGGCCCCCTAAGACAGACCCTCTCCGCCTCATCACAGACTATCCTGGGCTTGCAATGTGGTAATACTTCTTGAAGAGTGGTCCATCGACTCCTGGGGGTACCATATTTGTCTTTGCATTGGGTTGGCATGTGGGCTGATAGTGCAAAGGCAGTGGGTGGTAAAACTGGTGCCTTATTCTTTCCCACAATGCAGTCACTGGGGCCAAAAAGCCAGTTTTATTTAAGCATCCTTGATGAAACAGAAAAAAATGTTAAGTGTATTAAATCAAACATGTTTAGAGCTCAGGAGTTCAAGACGAGCCTGGCCAACATGGTGAAACTCCTGTCTCTACTAAAAATACAAAAATTAGCCAGGCATGGTGGCACGTGCCTGAAATCCCAGCTACTGGGGACGCTGAAGCATGAGAATCGCTTGAACCCAGGAAGCATGCCATAGACCAAAGTATGATGGAATACATATCTATATATCTATGTAAGCTATAAGTGCTGTATTACATCATAAAACATCTTTTTTTTTTTTTTTTTTT